ATACCCTATCATACATTGCTTTTAAATTATTCACTCCCTCATCTGTTTCAGTGCAGTATACACAATTTATCCAGTTTTTCTCAGTCTTACCCCAATATACTCTTCTAGGAAAAAAAAATCTATTCAACCATCCATGCAAGATAATGGTCATACTGACAGTGGAAATGAAATAAGCTTAATTATGCAAATTTCTAACCTTCAGTGCAATTGGCCAATGAATAAGGTAGAGATCAACATAATCCAGTTGAAGTTTTTTCAGTGACTTTTCCAAGCCTGACTGAACCAACTCTGGTTGAAGGAAAGTCATCCAAAGCTGCAGAGATTAAGAACAGAAGGTGTGCTTCATTAGTATTTAGAAAACTTAGTGAAGAGCTATAGCAACAGATAAGATAATGAGATACGTCTTGTTCAGCAAATTTAAATCTTGCCTACATTATTGATTTTGGACTTAATTTGGATCATTATTAATATAGACAGGACAAATATGAGTCTGGATTATAATCAGTAAGAATATAAGTAATCTTTAGGTTTCACTTCAATCTGAGCCAGTTTTTACTGTGATACTTTGAAATATGTGGATTTCATTTTTAAATGATATAGAGAAAATGAGCAATATATCCAAAAGAGATGGAAATACTGCCCTAAGAAAACACATGAAAGAATTGAGATCAAATGAATGTTTTTAATTTAGTGACATTATAGCTATGCTCGGAGGGTCCTGTCAGAGGTTTAGACAGAGAGGTGACATATTCTATCTATTTTGGAAGCAATGTCTAGAACTCTATTTTTATTGGGCTGTTGGTTTGGTTTTTTTTTTTACTTTTTAGAATTTGTTTTCACTCTAAGTTAAAACTAGGTGACCACAAAAGTAAAAACTTTCTTTTTGAGTTTTCTTTTTATTTGATTGATTATGTTGTCAAGCTATCTACTGAAAAATGGAAGGAAATGATTCAAGAGAAAAAGGTCATTACCATGTAACAATCACATTCATCATTTAAAATATATTTGAGTATACTAAACAATTTCACAAGCTTGATTTAATGATATCCTTAATCAACCCTTTTAAGGAAGAAGTAGTATCTCTTTCATGTAGAAAAAAGTTTTGAACATGTAAATAGGTGCTAGGCACAATTCAAGCCAAATTAGATCTATTTTGGTTAGTATTCCTATCGCTCTCTTACATTGTTCTTTGTATTGTCAGAAATGAAAATTGAGATTCAGAATGTTAAAAAAAATTGCCATAACACAGTGATAATAGAAAAGCTATAATTTGACCATAGATCTGTATCATCCATGCAAAATAACAAGACTTTAGGCTTAAACTCAGAAAGTAAAAATACTTTAGTTGTTATTGTTAGGTGCCTTTGAGTACAACTCATATTGATCCTTTGAACAATGGATGTGAATGTCATCCTATCCTTTGCCATCCACCTACTTCCTGACACACTAGACCACATCTCAACAGCCATTGTGTCAGTCCACCTGGTTGAAGGTAGTCCTTTCCTTTGCTGACTGTCCTCCCTTCCAAACATCATGTCCCCTTCTAAGGTATAACCCCTCCTAGCCATATGTCTAAAGTATTTAAGGCAAAGTCTTTACCATTTTTGCCTGCAAAGAGCACTCTGGCTGTACCCTCTCCGAGATATATTTGTTTGTTCTTTCAGCACTCCATGGGATATTCAGTGCTCTTCTCCAACACTACAACTCAAAGGCATCAGTTCTTCTTCTGTCAACCCTATTTATTGTCTAACTCTCATATGCATAGCAAGTGGTTTGAAAGACCATGGCCTGAATTAGGCACACCTTATTTCTCAAACTGACTCTCATTATTCCTCAATAATTTGGAGAGATCCCTAATTAAAGACTTTTCCAATACAATATGTCTCCTGATTTCCTGACTTCTGGTACCAAGGGTGTTAACTGTGAATCTAAGTAAGAGGAAGTTGTTGACAATTTCAGTCTCTTCTCAATTCACCATGATGTTGCCTAGTTCTCCAATGCTAATAATCTTGTTTTCTTGACATTGAGATGTAATCCATGTTGAAAGCTGCATTCCTTGATCTTCTGCAACAAGTTTTTCAAGTCCTCCCCACTTTCACCAAGCAAGATTGTGTCATCTGCATAATGCAGGCTATGATGAGTCTCCTTCTGATTCTGATGCCACATTCCTCTTCATAAAGTCCAGCTTCTCGAATATTTAGCTCAGCATACTGATTAAACAGGTATAGAGATGTAGCTCTGTATGTGCTCACCAGTCTATGCCAGGAAGTTTGTAGGACAACTGTCTGGACAATGGATTGGAATTGGTCCATTTTTGTTCATATTCCTAAGAAAGGTGATCCAACAGATGTGGAAACTATCTAACAATATCATTAATATCACATGCAAGCAAAATACTGCTCAAGATCATATAAAAATGGCTAATCTGGTCTGAAAAACAGTGTATTCAAATTTTGTAAATAAACTAGTATAAAATAAAAACAAAAACAAACAAACAAAAAAAACCAAACTGGCTAGAACAGTACATTGATAGAGAACTGCCAGAGGTTCAAGCATGGTTTAGAAGAGGCTGTGGCACTTGGGATATCATTGCTGATGTCTGGTGGATTCTGGCTGAAAATAGAGAATACCAGAAGAATTTCAATTTGTGCTGTATTGACTCTTCAAAGTCATTTGACTGTGTGGATCATAACAAATTTTGGCTGACTTTGAGAAGAACTGGAGTCCCAGACACTTAATTGTGCTCGTGCAAACCCTGTATCTTGCCCAAAGGCCGGATATATTGTAGCACGAACAATGCAGGAGAACACTGCATAGTTTAAAATTGAAGAGAGAGTACATCAGGGTTGTATTCTTGCAGGAGTGGCATCCCCGTCCTAAACAACATGACTCCAGAAACTCTATGAACTTTGATAAATGTCGATAGCTATAGAAAGGCATCAGGCCTTTTGTTCTTAGGTTGCTATGAGTCGTGCTCAACTCGATGGCAATCAACAACAACAACAGCAGTAACAACAAATACTTTAGAGCATGACAATAATTTAAAAGGTCATGCAAATGAATGCAGTTCATAAATCCACTCAAAATATGATATATGAAATAACCAATTTCCATGCACCATAATTATGCACATACACATAACATACACAATACCTTTGAAGTGTAGAATATATCTTCTCTCTTCACTGTGCCATCAGCAATCTTGCTTCGAATGGCTCTTCCAATTTCCTCTTCATTATTGCATGTATAAGCAGAATCAATATGACGAAATCCAGCATCAATAGCTAATTTGGTTGCCTCCTCGGCTTGACTTGTAGGAACCTAAGGAATTAACAAGCAGCAGTATTCATAAATCTATTTGATTGAGAAGTATTTGGCACCTCAAGGACGAGCCAGCACCAATGTGGATCATTTTCTCAGATTTCCTGTTTTTATGTATGGCTTGCTTAGAATTTTTATAAAAACCGTTTTTATTGTGATTTGAGTGGAAGTTTACAGAGCTAATTGGTCTTCCATTTCCTCTTGATTGTGAGATTAATTACATTCCTCACAATGTAACTTCATCCTTTCTACTTCTTTTCTATATTATGGATTTCTACTTATCCTTCTCTCCTGCCTCTGAGACATATATATTATCAAATTATTGCCCTTTTGGTCTTGTGTTATGTGATTGAACATACAACCAAGATGCTTTGATAATAATGGGTAACTGGAATGTATGAGTTGGGAACCAAAAAGAAGGAACAGTAGGTGGAAAACATGGACTTGGTGACAGAAATTAGGCTGGGGATAGAACGATAGAATGCTGAACAATCAATGATTTATTCATAGTAAATACCTTTTAAAAGAAACATAAATGTGGGCTAAACACATGGATTTCTCCTGATTTATGCACAGGAATCAGATCGACTGAGTCTGTGGAAGGAATTGTTGGAGAAGTTCAATATCAGCAGTGAAAACTAGGCCAGATGTTGATTGTGGAATAGACCATCAACTACTCATATGCAAGTTCAAATTAAAGCTAGAGAAGGTAAAGTCAAGTGCACAGGAATAAAAATTTGATATTGAGTCTACCCTCCATGAATTTAAAAACCAACTCAGGCATTGGTTTGAGGTCTTGAACACTAATGAACAAAAGACTAGATGAGTTGTGGGCGATATAAAGAATATCATTCATGAAGAAAGCAAAAGGTGATTACAAAGATAGAGGAAGAAGAAAAGAACAAAATGGATGTCAAAAGAGACTGAATATTGGACTAGAGTGCTGAAAAACCAAGGCAAAGGGAAGAAAATTAAGAAGTTAAGGAGCTAAATAGAAATTCAAAGGGAAGCTTGGGAAGACAAAGCCAAGTATTATAATGAAAGGTGCAAAGCATTGGAGTTGGAAAATCAAAAGGGCCAAACTTGCTCAGCATTTTTTAAATTTTAAATAAAATTTTATTTTTATTGTAATTTTAATGAATATATACAGAGAAGCTAGATTTCCATTCATTCATTTTTGCACATTTTACCTCCTCACCCTCCCTCTACCTCTCCAGATTACTTTTTTAATTAAAAATTTTCAGTAATTGTTGCACAATTACCTACTCCTCCCACTTTCATCCTGTTTACAATGATATATCTCTTATACTGAGCTCTTATTTTACATATAATGCTTAATCATATATTCATTTTAGACAGTTCTTTCTTTAATCTGTTTCAATGCAATGGTCTTTGTCAATCCACTCTTATCCTATTCTTCTCCCAATCCCCCATATCAGGCCTGAAATATAACAGTGGTACCATGCAGTATTTGTCCTTCCACAACTGATCCCTCACTCAGCATGATGTACTCCAGGTTCCTCTATGTTGTGCAATGTTTTAAAAGTTCATTGTTTTTTATTGCTGCGTAGCATTCCATTGCATGAATATACCACTGTTTTTCTATCCATACATTTGTTGACAGGCACTTGAGTTGCTTTCACCTTTTTGCTATTGTAAATAATGCAGCAATAAACATGAGTGTTTATAGATCTGTTTGGATGGCAGTTATAGTTCCTTTAGGATATATTCCCAGTGGAATTACTAAGTCAAATGGTATTTCTATTTCCAGCTTTTTGAGAAAGCACCAAACTGCCTTCCATAGTGGTTGCACTAGTTTACACTTCTACCAGCAGTGAATAAGTGTTCCAGTCTCTCCACAGCCTTGCCTGGATTTATTGTTTGCTGCTCTGTTGAACTTTGCTATTGTTACTGAGGTGAGATGATATCTCATAGTTGTTTTGATTTGCCTCTCTCTTAGAGTTAGGGATTTTGAACATTTCTTCATGTGTTTGTTTTCCATCTGTACAATTCCTGTAGAAAACTCAAGCAAGACTCACATCTCACAATATATACAAAAACAAGCTCAAGGTGGGTCAAGGACCTAGAAGTAAAACCAAAGACTATAAATTTCACCTAGAGAAAAGCTTGGAAGAACTCTAGAAGCCCTAATCCACAGTATGAACAGTCTTCCAGGCATAATTGGAAACCTATGACCAGGTGAAAACAAAATGGATGAATGGGACCTTCTAAGAATCAAATTCCTGTGCACATCAAAAGACTTCTTCAAATGGGTTAAAGGGAAAGTCACAGACGGGGGAAAAGTACTTGGTAATGACATATCTGATAAGGGACTCATCTAAAATTTATAAAATACTCCAGCACCTCAACGATAAAAACCTAAACAGTCCAATAGCAAAATGGAGACAGGTTATGAATAGATACCTCACCAAAGAAAACATTCAGATGGCTCAGCATTTCTTATGCTAAGGAATTAAAGAACAAATTCAAGCCACAAGTTGTAATACTTAAGGGTAGATTATCAAACAATCCAGGAAGCATTAAAAGAAGATGGAAGGAGTATACAGAATTACTGTACAAAAAAAAAGAGTCATTTGGCACAGAAGAATTTCATGAAACAATACATGATCAAATGCAATGGTGATGAAGGAGGAAATTCAGGCTGCTGTGAAGGAAGCTGGCAAAAGAATAAGGCCCCAGAAATTGATGGAATACCAACTGACATATTTCAACAAACAGATGCTGTCCTGGATGTGCTCACCATGCTATGACAAGAAATCTGGAGGATAACTACCTAGTCAACTGACTAGAAGAGATACATATTTATTCCCATTAGAAAAACAGGTAACCTGTCAGAGTGGAAATTATTGAATATCACTAATCTTACACACAGAAAAATCCTTCTGAAGATTATCCAAAAACGACTGCAAAGGTATATTGATGGAAAGCTGTCAGAAGTACAAGCTGGGTTTAAAAGAGGTTGTGGCACTAGAGACGTTATTGTCAATGTCAGATGGATCTTGGCAGAAAGCAAAGAGTACCAGAAAGTATCTATTTGTCTTTCATTGACAATAAAAAGGCATTTGATTGTGTGGATCACAACAAATTGTGGCTAACTTTGAGGAGAATGGGAATCCCAGAACACTTCATTGTCCTCAGGTGAAACCTATACTTGTGCCAGGAAGCAGTCCTCACAACAGAGCAAAGAAACATTGCATGGTTCAAAATAAGGAAAGGTATGTGTCATGGATGTCTCCTATCTTTAAATCTTTTCAATCTATGTGTAGAACAGATCATTCTGAAGGCTGGGCTTTATGAGGAGGAATGTGGCATCATGATTGGAGGAAAACTCATCAACAACCAGCGTGATGCAACTGATACACCTTCCTTGCTGAAACTGAGGTAGACCTAAAGTGCTTGCTGGGGAAAGTCAAGGACTGTAGTCTTCAATATGGGTTGAAGCTCAACATCAAGAAAACAAAGATTCTCACCACGGATCCAATTGGCAGCACTATGATAGATGGAGAAGAGATTGAGGTTGTTAACCCTCAGAGCTTGCTCAGCCCCACAATTAACACTCTCAGCACCAGCAGTGAGACTATCTAAAGACAAATTGCACTGGGAAAATCTGCTGTCAGGGACCTCTCCAAAGTATTGAGAAGCAACAATGTCAGTCTAGAGAGTAAAGTGCAATTGACCCAGGTCATGGTCTTTACAATTACATGCTATGCATCAGACAACTATACAATGGCTAAGGTTGATAGAAGAAGAATTACCGTCTTTGAGTGGTTCTGGAGAAGAGTATTGAGCTTACATGGACTGCCAAGCAAATAATTACATCTATCTTGGAGAGGGTGAAACCAAGTTTCTCCTTGCAGGCTAGGACTTTTGAAGCTCTGTCTCACATACTTTGGGCACATGGCCAAAGAGGGATCATTCCTTGGAGAAGGGCATCATCGTTGGAATGGTAGAGGGCCATGAGGAAAGGGAGACCCTGGATGAGATGGATTGCTATAGTAACTGGGGTAATGGGGGTTGGTGTGTCAGAGTGAGTGAGACTGACTCAGAATAGGGAAGGATCAGAGCTGTTGTATATGGGTCACTATGAGTTGCAGGCAATTCGATGGCACAGAACAACAGCAAAAACACAGCTGAGTGTTCTAAGGCATGCCTACCTCTCTGCAGTCACCACTCATTTTAGAGGCCTGTCTATCCTTTGACTCAAAGTGAGCCACAGAGTGTGTTCCATTTCAGACTTATGGGATTCCTAATGGTCGTATCTTAGCACTTCCACTAGTCTCTATTAGAAAAGCAAAGCTTACTTTTGTAATTTTGCATTTGCCTTTACATTTTTCTTCCTTTCTATTCAGGATGTCGTTTGGTGATTTCTTCAGAGTATCATCTATTTCTTCTTGTCTCAGGCTCAGATTCATGTTGAACATTATCAATCCTGAAAACGCATTATTACCTTGTATCTTTGATTTCCTTGATTATTCTTTGCACCAGGTGGGGAGAGATTAATAGTTGTACCTTATCATTCCAGAAGCTGCAAGACCTCAGTTTCTACTCACCTAAGAAAGATGTAGAATCATGGTTTTAAGGACTATATTATGTCAGTAGACATTAGTGTTCTCTAAGACTATTGATCTGAGTGAGTACTGGTCTCCACCATGGTTCTGTCAGTTTGCTGCACTGTTGTGGCTGTGTGTTGCTGTGGTATTAAAAGCCATGCCATTGGTACTTCATGTAATAACAACAACAAAAGGGGGAAAACACACGAGCAAACATCTTTTTAGTGTTCTCTGCTTTCAGTACAAATTCACCTGATGTCAGCAATGATATGCCTCTTGTACCACAACCTCTTCTGAACCCAGCTTGAATTTCTGGCAGTTGCCTGTCATATACCATTCCTGTAATTTTCAAATACTCTTCAGCAAAAATTTTAATTGCATGTGATATTAATGATAGTTTCAATTATTTTCATATTATTGTGCATCATC